GGGGGCCCTTTGTATCCACAGGGCCCTGGGCTGCCCAAACAGCCCTTAGGTAGATCCGCCCCTGTTTAGATACCATTATATTTGCGAAATTATCTAATTTTATTTCCATATCTAACTTAATAATTAGGTGTGTACTCAGATTAAAAAAATCAATTTTAGTAGGTCAGATACTGCAAATGGAATGTATGTTAATATTGTACGGTACGGTACAATGTACCTACAGTAGTATGCCACAACGTTAGTTATCATATTCCAAGTACCTACAAGTAATTATAAGAATTTCCACTACTACAGATATAAGTGATATATTAACAGGCGAGATAGGGGACTGTTAGTAATGTAGACTGATGATCTTATTGCTAGCAATGTACCATGGCAGGTTGACCTCCAAGCGGTTCCCCTGGAAACCATCTTCTAAGTGTTGTTTCTTTTACACACAATATCTAACTTGATCTTGATAAAATTATACAGTAATATAAATTATACTCCAGAATAAGACGTAGGCTATAAATTAAAAATATATTATGTAATTTGGGCAAAATATAAAGAGAACTGTTAAGTAACTATACAGACGAAGTTGCGCGGGTGAGGTAGTATTAAACTTACGTAGCAACATTTTATAAAATAGGTAAGCATAGGACTTGTATCCAGAGCCGTAAATTATTAATAAATAAAAACTAAATAACAATGAACATAAAGAATAGAAAATAATTTATTCAAATCTTTTGAATACACAAACAATTTTTTTAAATCTACAGCTTATTCGAAAAGCTGTCTCATAACAAGAAGAATAAGAAGAAACTTGTGTGTTGCTCTTTTAAACAATCCTTGTAAGTTCACATTTTACAAGTCGAAGCGTGTGAATACAAACTACCAACCAGCACTAATTTATTTACGCTCAAATGGAAAAACACAATAAGTCGTAATAATAATAGTAATATATAAAGTCAATAGTCGTAAGTCGTAGTGATAATAGCAGACCAGTCCCTACAAGCAGCACTCGTTCACGAGTATGACGGATGAGCCAGCCATCATTGTACTCGACTATATTTTAGATGGCCCAATGACCCGACCTACCACGCCGCCGCGCTGCCACATGTCTGGACATTTTAGTGAGCATGACTACTCATTCCACTCGACCTTGTCATAGCTACTTAAATTTATTAAATGGTAGTTACAGTATTCATATAGTATAGCGGCTACGTTGGATCATTTACTATATTGGAGTGGCGGTGTATATATATATATATATATAATGTGTTTTGTAGCCGTGTCATATTTATTGTCCATTGATTGTCAAAAATTGGTATATTAATAGCAGTAGAATTTTTAGTAAATTAAAACCATTTATTTAGTAATATGCGGTTTTATCTTATCAATACTGCAAAATTAATTTAATGTAGGTATGCTAATGTTAACTTTTTTGTTAAATAAATTTATATAGTATATATATATATATATATTTTTTATATCTCCCTTTTTACGGGGGTAATACATTCAAACACGCGGGCCTTAACCAAGCGTGGACGAGTTTAAAAGTCATATGAGGATGATAAAAGTGAAGACGACAGAAATTTCCGTACAATACGGCATGTGTTGAGAATGACGGCTTTTTGTAATAGGTCTATTGTAGAGGACTGCAACGTGTCTACGTGTTTGATAAGACTTTTTGGTATAATTCCTGTGGATGACAAAACTATGGGTACTATGTGGATGGTGTGTGCTTTCCATTGTTTTTTTAATTCTGTTGCTAGGTCTGTGTACTTTGTTAGTTCTTCATTGACGGTGCTTTGTATATTGTGTGTGTTTGGGATGGCTATATCTACAGGATATACTTTTTTGTTGAATATGTCTTAATTTATTATTATTATATATTTATATATAATAATTACTCACACTTTGAATATATTTCAGTTACATATGTGTAGTTGTATCCGTAGTAAACTTGATAAGTTATCAGTGTATGTTACATTTAAACCAACAACAAACAGCCCGTATCTACCGAATGATATAGTTAACAGTTTTTATAATAGTAATAATGTAAGTATTTATAGTGAACCGAAAAATGTTTAATGAAATACAACGTAAATGTACTAAACAAAAGGCGGTTTTAGTCAGACATACAGATAACTCGGGAGATCGAAGTTTTGAGTAAAGAAAGGTTGGTGTCACACTATAGTCAAAAATCATTTTATTCATATAGCGCCTGTAATTACCCGCTCATGAACGTCTAGTTTTTGTATTAATATTTTTTCCCTACCGTCCACTTCAGTATAAAAATTCAATTGAAAAAATCTGGCAAGACTCAAAATTTTTTTTTTTTTAAGTTAGATTACTTACATTATTTATTATTTAGGTGTCTATGTCTGACATTAAATTAAAATCCCGTGCATGAACAACTATTGATATGTTCGTTTGTCATTTGTAATCGTTTAGTGAGTAATAGGCTTTGTTCAGTAAACAATTTTTTATCAGATGTTTTAAATTTATTTACTGATAATTCCAGTATACCTTTAATAGAAACATATATAAATACCAAAGTTAAACTAAAATAAGATGCCTCAGTTATTAAATAACTTATCTGAGACTAAACTGACAACGGTTATTTTATGCATTAAACGTCAAAATATCGATTGAAATACGTACTTTTATCGATGTCTTCGTAGCCAGATCTAAAGGCTATCATTGTCACAGATTTTTATATATTAATGTTCAGTAAAACTCACTAGCGACATTACAAACTGTTGGTATACCGACGCCGCGCACTGTACTATGTCACTTTATCAGTATAAGTAATTGTTATTATGTTATGTTAGTTTATTTAAACTTCGGGCTCCCCGAAGGATTGATAATGGAGTCCTGAAGGACGGATAAGCGGTGAATAAGGTGCTTGAGTTGTGATCTCGTATAGGAAACGCATCTTTTATGAGAAATGGAAATGGGCAGGTCACGTAGGTCACAAAGACAAAAGGTAGGCTCACCAATTAACAAAGTGGCTGGGACCGACAGGGAAAAGGCGAGTTGGTAGTCAGAGAAAAAGATGGTCTGATGATATCAAAGAATTTATAATATATTGAATTTGTAATATTGAAATAACCATTTTTACTACATGAATATAAATACTGTACATACACCAAAATAACATATGTTACAATGTTTGTCTGTCTGTCTGTTTGTTCCGGCTAATCTCTGTAATGGCCGAACCGATTTTGAAGGGACTTTTATTAGCAGGTAGCTGATGTAATAAGGAGTAACTTGGGCTACTTTTATTTTAGAAATATAAACATAAATTCCATGCGGAAGAAGTCGCGGGTACAGCTAGTTTATTAAAATAAAACCAATAAACAAGAGTTAATAATCATTTATTCATAAGCAATGATGATAATCAACAGTAAACCAATTGCGGTAAATAACGTCATCGACAGTTAACCGCTGGTAACTTTAATCTGAAGGGCTCGGTGGTATAGAGGTTTACCACCCCACCTTACTTCCGGTGGTCGCGGGTTCGATTCTCGCACGGTACATTTGCATCGATGAGTATGTACCGGCCTGGTTGTTTCCTATGTAAATTTTGTATTTACAAAAAATGTATTTAATTATTTCTATCAGTAGTCTAGTACACTTGTAGATTTTTAATTGTGACGTCACGAAATTTAGTAACCCTTCCACCCCTATTTACAAAATGCCTCTTTGTCCACCATCATCCCTTCCCTTACAACAAGTGAGTAGTTTATGAATGGTCCCATACAAAAAGTCTGGACAGAATTTTCCTTTATTGTTTATGAATGGTCCCATATAAAGTCTGGACAGAATTTTCCTTTATTGTTTATGAATGGTCCCATATAAAGTCTGGACAGAATTTTCCTTTATTGTTTATGAATGGTCCCATACAAAGTCTGGACAGAATTTTCCTTTATTGGTACGTCCGTGTGAAGCCGAGGTGAGCAGCTAGTATTAATTATTTCTGTCAGTCTATTTTATTATTTAGTATATAAGATAGTTGGTTCACTATTAATTTGGAAATATCTTTTAATTAACATTAATTAAGAATAAAAATTTGGGGCACTAGTACGACACGACGGTATCTACACATCTATACATATAAATAAAATTGGAGTGTCTATTTGTAATATTGAAATAACCGTTCTTACTACATGCATATGAATATAAACACGGTACATACAACAAAATAACATTTTTTACAATTTTTGTCTATCTGTATGTTCCGGCTAATCTCAGAAATGGCTGGACCGATTTTGACGGGACTTTTATTGACAGGTAGCTGATGTAGTAAGGAGTAACTTAGGTTACTTATATTTTAGAAAAACAAAGTTAAATTCCACGCGAACGAAGTCGCGGGTACAGCTAGTAGGTATATATAAATAATAAAAAACACTAAAAATACTGAACTTGTAATACCACATATTGAAAGTGCATAACAACTATTATTTTAAACTATCTCAGTGTACGAGGTCTGTGAGGCATATTTTGCACTTGTTACACTTAGATTAAAACAAACACTAGAAAAACATCGCATGCTTACATTCTGGTCAATGTTCTGTTCAACTCAATAGTTTTATTTCAATTAATATCTTATATATAAAATTCTCGTGTCACAATGTCAGTTACCATACTCCTCTGAAACGGCTTGACCGATTTTTATGAAATTTTTATATGCATATTCAGTAGGTCTGAGAATCGGCTACTATTTTTCATACTCCAAGTGATAGTGGTTGTCCACCCCTAACATTATTTTTTTATTTTTTGGGCAATTTTTTTATTTATATTTATTTATAATGTTAAATAAATATAACACTAAATTTTCGCCCTTCTACCATCAACCCCTATTTTCTACCAGCGATTTTAATTTATATAACAAAACAACATTCGCAGGGTCAACTAGTTGTATATAGTTTTTGTATATGACGACTAAAGAAGATAACAATTCGGCTATATTCTTTCATTCTCCACTCCCAAGACGAATGAGGGGCACCGAACAAGTGACCCCGGGACCTAGAGATCCCGGCACTATGGCAGAGAAATACCGTAGTAATTTTTATCCAGTAAAAAACCTACAGTATACGTTTAAACCTCGCGGACATGCCGCAAGGGTCGCGGTAGAAAGTACAAGTGACCCCGGGACCTCGAGATCCCTGCACTATGTCAGAGGAATACTTAGTAATTTTTATACAGTAGAAAACCTGCAGTACACATTTAAGCCTCGTGGACATGCCGCAAGGGTTGCGGTAGACAGCACTAGTGACCCCGGGACCCCGAGATCCCGGCACTATGGCAGAGGGATACTGCTGTTGTTTTTAGCTAGTAGACAACCTGCAGTACACATTTAACCCTCGCGGACATATCTCCTTGATGGATCTTATCCATATTAAATAACCAATTCGAGGTTGGTGGGTCGTGGTAGAAAGCACAAGTGACACCGGGACCCCGAGATCACGGCACTATAGAAGAGGAGTACTGTAGTTGTTTTTAACCAGTAGAAAACCTGCAGTACACGTTTTACCCTTGTGGACATGCCGCAAGGGTCGTGGTAGAAAGCAGAACTGACCCCGGGACCCCGAGATCCCGGCACAATGATAAAGGACTACTGTAGTTTTTAGCCAGTCCAAAAACCAGTACTCGTTCAACCCTCGCGGACATGTCTGCTTGAAGGATATTATCCATATTAAATAACAAGTGATAGATTTTTCCATCATGTGGTCCTTATTGTTTTTTAGTTAGAATGAGAATATGCCGTATGCCTTTCTTTTTGTTTCAATCCAAGGTGTTACATATATTAATTTATCTATTAATATATACCTATATACCATTAACTAACACTTGTGTTGTTGTTAAGCAACGGAGCAGAGTCCTCAGCGTCTGATTTCTCGCTGTCACTCGTCACTGTAAAAAAACAATATTTAACATTACATTTAGTTAAAAAAAAACAAAAAAGCTAGTTTGAAACGTATAAAAAAAGTTAAACGAAAAAAGCGTGTCAATTAAAAAAAAAACAGTTATAAAGCATAAAAAAAAGTTGAACGAAAATAAAAGCGTGTCAGTTAAGAAATACAACGAAACCAGTTAATTAAAGCATGCAGAAAACTATAGCGATAGGATTGGAAACATAGAAGCTGCCCATTTAGTAAGGTGTATCTATAAATTGCGTCACAAGTTAGGAACTGACATCAGTCATTAAGAAGTTACGTTATACGGGCCCATCCCTTAGAACGTAACTCGACAGAGTGTGACAAGGAGTTTCTTAATAACATTTACAAATATGTTTTGTTGACGGGTTTACAGTCTATTATTGTAAAATACCTAAATATATTATTTTTCGGACTACTCTAATGCTGTTGGCCGCAGCTGGCATGGCACTCCAAACGCGCGGAAGGACTATACGACTTTAGTCTGAGGGCACCGCTAGGGGTTCGAACCTCGGCTCAGGCCGTCGTAATATCGATACCCGTTTGAATTGGACGGGGGATCGATCGTGTGAGTGTATAATATACAAGTATGTGATATGTATGCTATTATGCCAGCAGTTGTGACAAAAATGAGTAAAATACCATGGATATTGTGACGAAAATAATATATAAATATAACTTATGCATGGCCTCTAATAAATGTATAAATTAGAAATAGTTACATACAAGTGCCAATTTTTAGGTACGTCTAAGTGCTCCCATATATTTCCGATAAGAGTCGGACGAACCGTGACGTCATCGTAGGATTCGAGCATAGAGCATCGGTTGTTACTCCCTGCCCTGTATGAAAATTCGCCAATCGAACGGCTTCGTCAGCACGGTTCGTCAGGACTGAACCTAATAATCGTTTGATTTTATTAAGATTAAAAAAATTAAACGATTATTTTAAATTTCTCAGCTCAATATTTCAACACTAACATTTCTATTAAAAAAATTACTAACAGTTTGTGCCAAAAAAAATTTTCAAAATGTGTGCCTGCACTTATTTATTATTTGAGCGACCAACAAGACGTATAGACTATGAGGTTACAATTATTATAACTTGCAAAAAGTTCAGGTATATAGTGTTGACTTCAGTACTGGTTGCCACGGCATGCGTAAATGTTTACAGAAGTTTATATATATATATATTTGTTTTTATATTTTATTTTACTTTGTTTATATATTTATTAATTTATTACACTTATTTAGATTAAATTCTCATTTTGTTTAGAAATAATTTATTACCACGGTTGCTTACAATTATCTACGCCTATTTAATGTGCATACAAAATTGCTATATTGCTACAAACATCCAAAGACTTCATTATGGATGTTGTTGCGAATAAAGTAATTAAAAATTGTATATCATGTCAGATTTCAGACAAATCCTGTTACAAAAAATATGTTATTTTACAATAATTCTATATTAACCATAAATTAATATGGTAATTAAAAAAAATTGTAACAAATAATGTAATAGTAAATCCATAAACAATATAAACCAGTCCATATCATGATCTATTTCTTTGTTTACTTCTTCTAAGGTCACAAATGATTGATGAAATGATGAGACGATTTTCACTATGATTTTAAGATATTCTTTACGGCAGGTTTATATTTATAATACATGCATATTTATACAATATTCGTTTCACATACTATACATCCATGCTACGTCTAGTTGGATCGAGAGTTCATAAATAAATTTTCAAACAGCAATCCCAAAATGTAAAAAGTGATAGTCACAAATACGTGTAATGTTAATAATTGTCACAAAAAAAAAAACAATTAAAACTTACTATGTAATATTATGAAAAAAATTTACCATTATATGGAAAATAGCGTGCTTAAAAAATAACGTAAACTATACTGTTTAAAGTGTAACAAAAACCCAAAAATTCACACGTGAAAAAAAAACAACTATAGCACAAACATAGCACTAACCTTAGCCTCCTCACACCTTGTTGCTTAATTATTAATTGGACAATGTTTCTGAAACATTACACACCCAAACCATATATAATTACATTGAATTTAAATTCTATGTACAACGAAAGCTGTTCCAAAAAAATGGCGGGAATTTAAAAATTATGTTATTTGTCAAATGTACCAGAGACAATTTTATTTTATTTCTGTTAAGTGTTAAATGAATATATTATTGAGTCATTAAAAATAGAAAATAAACAGTATTTTATATCTATAAAAAACGGAGTTACCTTGTTCCTAAAATTACGAAAGTACTAAAAATTAAGGAAAACAATTTAAAATTTAAGCATATTTTTTCATCTGATTCCGGTGATTTCTTATCTACAGCCTTATTTAGTACAATTAGAAAATTATAATTATTATCTATTCCAGCAAAGCAATAAAGATAAAAAAAAAATACAGAAAGTGAAAGTAATGATTTTGATAATGGCAATTTAATAGTACTAAAATTTAATGGACAGCTTTCGTAAGTCAGATTATAAATTCCTTAATTTTTATAATGTCACGGCAGGATTGCTAACTGCTTTATTGTTTTAATTGTCTGTAAATAATTAAACAGTGTATTATATTAAACAGCTAACTAGCTAGTACATTTTATTTTCTATTTGTTTTGTACTGAAACATAATTCCCATTCAGAACTATTTATTCTCTGATAAAAATAATATTATAAAATAAAATGTACATCAATGAAAATTTTGTGATTATTTTTTATAAAATCTGGTATACAATGCCTACTGCCAAACAGACCAATACTATGGAGAGACACCTGGCACTGATATAGAAAATGTGTTTTATCGATGGTTATAAATAACAATTTCATTATTTCTATCATAATCATCGTATCATCAAAGGACCAATTAATAATCAATTAAATATATATATATATTAAATATATTGGTAACATTTTAATTATATATTCACAGTATTTAGTAATGAAACATAAAAACATAAAAATCCTTCGGTATGCAAGATGACAATGGTTATCGCACGGAAAAAAAAACAAAAAGTTATTTTTTAAGATACCATCTTTTTAAAATAGTAATTATAATTAGCTTCTGTTAAAATAATATTAATATTAAGGTATAATATTGTATGCCGTGTCTTTTAGCCATGGTCATCCTACTCTATTTTAGGAGGATATTCAAATAATCTAATATTTAATGTAATTGTAGTTTGAGTACATAAATTACTTTATCGCACTCCAAGTAAAATATCAATTAACTCAAAAGTTACAACCTTTGTAATATCCACTCTAAAGCATTAGCATTAAAGTCTAATTTAAAATAAACATATATATATAATTCGAACCTTGGAATATGCACTCAAAATCTTCACTATTAACGTCCAATTTAAAAAATGAGACATACCGATATTTTGGATGATATAAAAAAAAATTACATTACTGAATCAACTCAAAACCTTGGAATATCCACTCAAAAGCTTTAAGGTTAAGGTCTAATTTGATTATTTTATAAATATTAATAAACAAAGTGCAACAATCTTATTTTAAATTCGACTTTAAAGGTAAAGCAATAGAGTGCTATATCATATACATGTCGTAATTTTTTCCGAACGGTAAAAACTGTCATCCGGTACATTAAGCAGGTAATAACATAAAACTGTAACATAACAATGAATGAATGAAACAAATATTCAAAATGTACATCAGTTTATATTTTACATTCATAGAAAATACACGTCAACTATATTATTTGCTCGTGCGCAACATTTCATGTTATTATGCCTAATTATTTACAAACTTACACTACAATCCTAACAAATTACATATACACCTTCCATTCTATACAATACTAATAAACGTGGTCGTCCCTAATGAGAGACTTACAGACCAAGCGCACTACTATGTTAAGGGTCATGTTTGAGTGTAGTATATGTGGGAAAGAGAAGGAAGCATTATGTCGTCTCAGATATACACTACTGATCTGTATAAAAAGTAAAATCAATGAAAAACTAAAACAAGGGATGTAGTATATGTGGGAATGAGAAGGAAATATAATGTCGTCTCTAGCGCACACTGCTGGCATCATGCGTGCATTAAGTTGTGAACGGCGTGTGAGAACAGTGGTCTGAGACGACATTATGCTTTCTTCTCTTTCCCACATATACTACAGTGGGACTGATGTATAAACTGCTTCTTCAGGATTTAAGTTACAATCAGCAGATAAAGATGAACAATGTCTTAATAACAATACATCGAGAAGCTTCCGATGGGAATTAGGTTTAATCCACCGAAATTAAATCCGCCGTTCTTTAATGGCTGTTTCGTAAAATTGTAAGTTTCTATTAATTTTAGATTGTTACAAATACATTATTTATTTATATAATTAAATAATTTGCAGCAGTTGGATTATTAAAAAAAGTATTTTAAGAATTGGATTTGACTGACATTAAATAACTGATTTTAGGTAATTGCTATTTATGAACGTAGTTTTTACTTCGTTTAATGTACTGTCAAAACTGAAACTGGTTTAAAATCACTCCGAAAATTCGGCCGGTCACTAAAACTGAAGAGAGAGCCCGCCTACTTACACTAGTACTCGACATATTTTATTATTAAGGTTTTTAATTTTGCGGAAGTCCATTTCATTACTTAATGGATTTATATTATTTTTTTTAAACCCATATATCGACAAGTTTTTTTTTTCAGACTACTCTATTGCTGTTGGCCGCAGCTGGCCTTTACAGCTTCACCGGACGATAAGGAGCGAGTGCAGATGGCACTCCAAACCCGCGGAAGGACCTATGGAGCGACTAAATGCCAACTCCCGCCTGACGGATACGACTTTAATCTGAGGGACCACTAAGGGTTCGATTCTCGGCTCAGGTCGTAATTTCGATCCGCGCTTGAATTGGACGGGGGATCGACCGCTGGAGATATCGACACGTACTTCGGCGACTAAACGTACAATGCAACTATCGCAGTTTGATCTCCAACAGTCAATACCAGGCTTCGAAGCTGTATTCATTTCCTGATGATGCCTCGTTTAAAGGCGAAACACGTGTCGCAATATGGGTACAGATACAATAACAGTAGGAATTTGATCACCAATAGAAAAGGTCGTAACGCTTCCAGTAGCGGCGGTCAGATTTCCGCGCCGAATATTTGTGTTCTCACACATGCTGAACACAAAATGATATAAATCCATTAAATAACAGTACCCGATACTCCGTAATAACTAAGCGAGTAGTTACATAAACAAAAACAAGTAACACATCTGCAGGGCGTGGGAAGACACGTTTACCTACCTATAGACAATAAATACCACAGAATAATCTTTATACATAAAAATTACGTGTCACGTTGTTCGTTTGCGATGGACTCCTAAACTGAACGGATTGCAAATTTGATTTGCACATTGTGTGCAATTTCATCCAACTTGAAAGATAGGATAGCTTACATCTCAATTTATAGTCGCAATATTATTTTTATATATAAAGAAACTGTCAGCCAGCAAAGCGTGGCCGGGTCTGCTAGTACATATATAGAGTATAAATTTGAGCACTGGCTCAATAAAGATGTAATATTATCATAATTATCACTAACATTCCAAAATGAGCACTGACTGAACTTTCACTCTGTCATATATATAATCCTGTGATCGCTCACACTTACATTTACACTAGAGGGCGTACTAACTTGAGTTACAAATCTATCACCAACATATAATTTACAATCACCATTAGTCAAGTACATCATCAATGACAAGCTGGTAATCATCGCTAGTGATGTCCCGACAAGAGTTTGACAGTGCAGTAATAGTAGATATAGAGAAAGTTAGTTGAAGCCAACACCGAGTTAACGATAGTTATTCATTTTGAGCTTTAAGAAAACGACCATTTTATTCATTTATTATCTAGGAATTATTTTAAAAAATCTAAGTTGTTATATCAGTTATCTAGTACCCATAACACAAGCTCTGCTTACTATAGACTTGATGGGGCTGTGTTAATTGTCCAGAGTTATTTGTTATTATTAATTTGTACAATGTTGTAATTATATAAATTTATAATCTAATATATAAAATTCTCGTGTCATAATGTTTGTAACAAAACTACAAAATAGCTTATTCATTTTTATGAAATTTTGTGAATATTCAGTAGGTCTGTGAATAGGATTGTAAAGCCATTGAAATGGTTAGATGTAATGTAATGGCAAACAAACGGACAATACGTTACGATCTCGTCAAATCTAATATGTGCTTTTTACGAGCTTGGGATTTTACTTTTATTTAGTTAAAATAAATTTTACTATATTTTGCTAAATAACATTTTTTATAATATAAATGTTTACTTACTATATCCTATAAGACTAGCTCAAAAAAAATCGCGTGTTTTTAATTTACCTAATGAATCAGACAGAAGAGACTGTGAGAGTGAGAAGGTAGAGATTTTATAATGCAATTATTAAGCTATCTTCTCAAATTATTATTGAACCAAAATGGGCATAATAATAACAATGTAGCAACATATACATTCAAATATATACATAATTAAGTACGTAATAAAGTTTAGAATGCTGTGAAAAATAAAACGATTCTTAAAGCTCAAAACGGCAAGTATAAAATAGATGAAAAACTTATTACTAGTTTAATAAATTATAGATATCATTTCTCTGTCCGTTAGCATCTCATTGCGATGGAGCTGTGAATATTAAACTATTAAAATTGTCTAGCCACACTATCTACGTACTCTAGCTTCATTAGATTCCAAAGAAATTTCATTTCGTAGGAATTGTGAAAACACTAGAAATATTATAATAATTAATACATTTACAAATTTAACAACCTATCTACATATAGACAATTGAATAAGACTGTTTTGTCAAGTCGTATTCATGGTAATCAGATTATCAGTACGATGGGACTCTTGGTACAATGTCATTTAATTTCTAACAAACCATTTGTTTCAATCAACATCGTTTGTTTTAATTTATACCGTTCACGATTGATGTCATCCAAACAGACATGTGGTACACTTTATCGAAGAGACAAACACCTGCTTTTGTCATATGAATATGTTACCAATAATCAAAATATATAACAATTACTATAGTTTAGCTAAAACACACGAAAAATATAGCGTATAATGTACATTGGTAGGTCCAATTAAAAGGGCATCTATGCAGACTTGGTTTTGTATGAATCTGTTACCAATAATCAAAATATATAACAATTATTATCATTTCGCTAAACACATAAAAACTATAGCGTACATTGTCCATTGGTAGGTCCAATTAAAAGGGCATCTATGCAGACTTAGTGGACTGTGGGAAACTGGAGGCAAAAACTAAGTACCTTAATTCATACACGTTATGTAATCAGTTAATGATTATTTCGGTTTTCACATAAAATTATTTGGCACAATTTTTTCATAAACAACACACTCTCTCCGTCTTTTTTCAACTGGCAATACCGTTGCATAGGTGCCCTGTTAACGTGTAAATTTCATCTGCATATTGCATCTCAACTAAATATTTATAGCTCGTAATACGCCACTTACTGACCCATGTTCCCTATGCATAATTTATGACATCCTAAAACTGGTCGATGACCTACAACAATATACGACATTTTAATTTCATAAGGTCTATAAAAACATTGCAGTTTTTATGAAACAAAGTATAATTTAGCTTGTTCGTATTTGTCAACTGACAGAATGGAGAATAAATAAGATACGGTCAATTCTATGATCTGACACATATTTTCATTATAGTATATTTATTATTTTTAATATAATCTCAACTATTAAGTTAAAGACGATACAACACTGGTAGTCTTCGCTGCCTCTATCAGAGGTGTCACTTTCTATTTTCTCTCATTCAGACCCTTAAGAGAAACCGGCTTATCATTGGGGCAGTATCTAAGATCATAGTTCTCTGTTCCCTCTATCCTATTAATAAATGATTCCCTCTATTCGAACTGCCTCGGAAACTAAGCGATTCAGCTCTAAAAGAAGCTGGCTTATCATGGGGGCAGTATCTAAGATCATAGTTCTCTGCATATTCCCTTAATAAGAACTGCTCCAAAAACGAAGTGTTTCAGATGAGTTTCAGACTGTTTGATAAGGCAACACGACTGTGATGATTTCAGATAGATCGAGGTGACAGTTCCACATTTCAGTCAGCTTATGAGGCAAATGAAACTTCCTTCTTCGTTTCGGGTATAAACATTTATATCGAACCAAAGTAGAAATTGGGTACTCGGGTACGGAGGGAGAGAACGAGAGACAGAGAACGTAGTCCAGATAGAGTGAAGTGACGACTACATTTCGAAGCAGAACTTTCTTCTCTGTTTTGACAATCAACGTTTATATCGAACTATAGTAGAAATTGGGTACTCGGGTACGGAGGGAGAGAACGAGAGACAGAGAATGTAGTCCAGATAGAGTGAAGTGACATTTCGAAGCAGAATTTTCTTCTCTGTTTTGACAATCGACGTTTATATCGAATCATGTTCTGTTTCGGCTATTGACGTTGATATTGTATCAAAGTCGAAGTTGGGTACTCGGTTACGGGGAGAGATTAAAATGACGACTCTACATTTCTGTCATCTTATGAAGCAAAACTTTCTTCTCTATTTCGGCTATTGACGTTAATATTGGATCAAAGTCAATCGAGCATGTACGTACGTTGAAAGAGAAAGAAGGAGAGAGACAGAGAGAGAATGGTAGGTGCGTGTCTCCTAGGAGTAGTGTCGCTTGGCATGTCTGGGAGGCTGCCTGCGCGCGTTCGTACCGTTTCTGTCGGGCGGCGCGGCGCTGGGCGGCGAGATGCGGAACAACTGTATCTTGAGGTGGTCGCAGATCTCCAGGCAGATCTGGCCGCAGTACCTCACCAGGTCTATGCATACCCATATCTGGAAGCATAATTAAGAATATTTCTTAAGTATATATATTTTTGTTCTGTTTATATTTTGTTGCATTTTGTTTACATTTATAATTTTGCACCGCCAACAATTATTCTCTGCACCACCTATGGTTGACTGGTAGAAAATGCCGCATGGTGTTAATTCCGCCAAATGTACTGTACTATATATTATATTGTGTGCATTAATGTTAAATAAATAAATAAATATTTCAACAGAGGTAGGCTGTAGAGTCTTGACACTGAGGTAACATATAACCTGGAGAAGTTACACAACGTCACCTAGTATAAGATATATAGAACTTGTGTTATGAATACTAGAAAACTGATATAAAAATTTAGTTATTTTATTGGTAAACACATTATTACATGGTATAAAACAAAGTCGCTGTCGCTGTCTGTCCGTCCCATATATAGGGATAAAATAGGCTTAAATAGGTAGGTTATATAAATAAAAAGTAGAAGTTATGACATTTTTAACCGTTCTTTATTACACTATGTTTAAAAAAACCTGTCGACATGTTCGGGTTCGGAACTCTAAAAACCTTAGTTTTTGTGTGTCTGGTCATTCTAAAATTTAGAGATGGCAACCCTATATATAGGCGGCAGTTACCACTTACCACCAGCCCTCAGCCACGTGGGCCGTGGCCGGTGACCACTGGAAGAAAAAAGTTTGGGAACCTCTGGTTTAGCGTATCGCCTATACGCTAAACCAGATGTTCCCAAACTTTATTGTGTCGTAGACATCTTGCCATGTTTTTCATGTTTGCCATTAGTTAGAAACTAAACGTAAAGTTTAGTGTTGAAAACATAAAGTAAAAACAACAAGATAATCGCTATCGTAGACCCCTTGCAGTTTGTCATAGACCCCTGGGGGTCGATATAGACCACTTTGGGAATCACTGCCCTAAACAATACATGTTTTATTTGTGGTCGTTTAAGTTGACTATACTTGCACATACCGTACATAACCAGAGTACGTAGTACTCAGGTATTGCGTTATTAAAGTACTGGTTGAGGAACAGCATCGAGGGTCCCAGCAGCGACCAGTCGTAGTACTCCATCTCGCTTTTTGTCATGTGAGCCACCTGGAATATATATACTTATGTTAAAATATTTTATCTTAAAGAAAACTTGTGATAAATCAGATTTGTGACCTCTTCTCGTGAAGCGTTTATTGCAACATTATACTTTAAAATTTAGGAGTTCAGTATCCTTTTGGTTGGTGTTCAAATATAAATAGGATAGAAAATCATTTATTCAAATAAACTTGATTTAAGCACTTTTGAATAGTCATAAAAATTTTTTTATCTACCGCTCGTTCGGAAAGCTGTCTCATCACAAGATGAACGAGCAAGAAACTTGTGTGTTGCTCTTTTAAGTGATCCTTGTAAATCAGCGCTGGAAACCGTTTCCAGCATTGTGCTGTGTTGTGGTCCACATTGACTCTGTTTTGTAATGTGTAAATTGTTGTTTACATTTTTTTTAGGTCATTAGAAATAGAAATAGAAATAATCTTTATTCAAATAAACTTAATATGAGCACTTTTGAATAGTCAAGTTTTTTTTATTCTACCGCTTATTCGGAATGCAGATTCATCACAAGAAGAATAAGCAAGATACTTGTGTGTTGCTCTTTTAAATAATTGTTTTAAATCATTGTTATGTGGAGTTTATAAATTCTTTTCTATTCTATATCGCGCAATGAACGGTGCTTCTTACTCGATACTCGGATAATAAAGGTTTCGTATTTATACTCTTGCGAAACGGCTTGACTAATTTTGATGAAATTTTATATGTATATTCAGTAATCCTCGGAACGGTGAGGTCGCTCCGTGAAGCCTGTGAAGACACCAGGAGCCTTCTGCGCTTTTGGGAGGAGCTTGGCTGGGTACTTTAGTAGTCTGGCTCTGCACGCACAACGGCCCGAATGAGAGGTTAATTGCGGAGACTGGAGTCCAACATACATACATACATATGTATATTCAGTAGGTCTTACAATAGATTTATAACTAATTTTTACACACCTAAGTGTTAAGAGTTTCTCAACGCAATTTTTTTTTTAATTTTCTCGCCAAATTTTCACCCTTAAATCGCCAACCCCTATTTTTTAATAGCAATAGAAAATTTCAATTCTAACACCTTACAATTTTTTTTTTATTTTGTTCTTGCGATGATATGTGCATAGTCTATTAAATTACTCAAATTATACGCTGTTCTTATTAAATTATTGATTGTTGGCTAATAAAGTTTATTATTATTATAATTCAATCACAACAAAATTATATTAATTAAAATAAAAAAGTTATTTTCCACATGGACAAAGTCACTGCTAAAACTTTTTAACTGTATACCCTGAAAAATATTTTTTTTGTTTTAGACAATGTTTTTTTTTGTGGAAAATAAATTTAAAATAAAAAAGTTATTTTCCACATGGACAAATATTCAATTTCAGCAAAATTTTATGAAAACAAAAAAAAAACTTAATTTCCACTTGGACAAAGTCACTGCTAAAACTTTTTAACTGTATACCCTCAAAAATATTTGTTTTGTTTTATACAATTTTTTTTTTTAGTGGAAAATAAATAATTTTCATATTATTAAAAGAAGAGTATGTTTAGATATGACGACCGATAGAGAGCAGTGGAAGAGAATGACATACTGCGCCGACCCCAAATAATGGGATAAAGGCAAGGCAATGATGATTATTAAAAGTAAAAAATACACTCACCACAAGTCTGTTGGTGACTTTCGCAGCTACCATACCGAACGCCATAATATAGAGGGCGGGATGGTTCTCATACACTTGCGACTCGCTCTTTTGGAAGATGATGAAAGCTGGCACCACGACCAGCGAGAACGGTATCACCGGCGATAGGATGCTGGTACCCTGCGAGCAGAGTTATGGGATGTAACTAGCTCTAATTACGTACATATGTTGAAGCGAAATAAAAAACTTTGCACAGATTGAATAAAAAATAGATGTTGCAATTAAGTATAGTTTTATTTTAAGTTTGAGTGTATTTTCTTAGCTAAATTTTTGGGTTCTTGGTTTTGCATATCATCATCTGCTTCTTCCTTATCCCATTTATTTGGTCGGCGTGATATGTTTTTCTCTTCCATTCATCCCTGTTCGCAGTCATCTCGTTATTAGCTTCCTTTCTTATTATATATATATTTATATATAGGTTTTTAAAATACCAAGTGTTAATAATAATAATCTTAGGACAATTCACACAGCGCCATCTAGACCCAAGTTAAGCTAGCTAAAGCTTCTGTTATGGGTACTAGATAACTAATACAAGTACATAGATAATTTTTTTTCGTAAATACATACATATTATACATAGAAAACACCCAGACCGATAAAAACAATCATACTTCATACTCATGAATACAAATGTTTGTGCCGTGCGAGGAATCGAACCCGCGACCATCGGTCGTAAAGTGGCGCGCTAGACCGCTAGACTACCGAGGTCGTCGTCAAGTGTTACTATAATATAACTTTCTGAATAAATTATAACAAATTTATTTTTATTCGTCCTTACTAATATTATACATTCGAACGTAACTCTGTCTGGTTGTCTGTCTGTCGTGCTTTCACCCCAAAACTATTGAACCGATATAAATGAAATTTGGTACATAGATAGTCTAAACCCTGAGAAAGGTCATAGACCTCTTTTCAATGCGAAAAAAAGGACTCGAATGGGTTGAAAGGGGAAATGAAAGGTTGTATGGGTTAATCGCCATTTATAAATGTAGTAACTTATTTTTTAATTAAATATAAATATTTATAACATTCAAAGTTTGTAAAATGTTACCCTTAAAGGGGTAAAATAAAATAGATGAGGAAAGTTTGTATGAAAATTCGTCATTTTGAAGTTAGAACGACGAAACTTATTTTTTTGGCTTTTTTGGCCAAAGAAATAAGTTTCGTCATTACTACGTAATGATGAACTTGTTGCTAATGAAAATATTATTAAATATTTTCATTAGCAACTAATTCATCATTACATAGTATAAAACAAAGTCGCTGTCGCTGTCGGTCCGTCCCTATGTATGCTTAAATCTTTAAAACGGAAACGGATTTTGAATCGGTTTTTTTAATAGATAAAGTGATTCAAGAGGAAGGTTTATACACCCGTGCGAAGGGGTGTACCCGTACCCGGGGCGAGTAGCTAGTTATACTATATATATACAAGTGTGTTTGCAACATCTATTTCTTTCTATGTCTGTGCACAAATAATATAAAAAAAAAAATCAAGCTACAATCAAAGCATGCGCTACATTACAAGCGAAAGTTAGTGAAACGAACTACACGTATGAAAACAGCACAATCACAACACAAACGTTATTGCCGATGATGATGATTGACAGGGAGCGTGTGGGCCCGTCGCTGGGCGTTTGTTGCTGGCAACACCGCGGCGTGACGTCATCACATTAGTATGTCAACATTGTGCTGTTTCATGTTAGTGTTAACACACCAATGGTAATAAGATTCTTACAGCAACTGTGGAGCCATTTTTCCCCACTCCGCCCCTCATTATGACATTTACGTATCCAAGTATAAGGTACGCGGATAGGGCGATCACTCCGTAATTCGATAGCAGACTGATACTCGTGTTTATGGTCGGTATCTTTTGTTAGACGGCATGCGATGACGTGAAACGTACGTAGCGCGGCGTCGCGGCGTACGGCGGCCAAAAAAAGAAATAACATGCCATTAAAATGTATGCCATTAAATAACTGAATGGAAAGAAAAACTGCGTGTGCTGTCTTCACTCATTTCCTTTAACTGAGCAATATCACCGACGCTGCTGTGAACCATAGCCGTGTGTAAAATTGTAAATACAACCCCGCCTGAAGCACTCGTTGAAAGAAACTGTGTTTTAGCAGGTGTACCCTATCGTGCATTGTTAATCACAGTGATTTAATACAAACTCAGCAAACGTAGGATAGATAAGAGACGATTCAGTCAAATAGCATTGTTGGAAACCAATTAATAACCCCGTTAAGAAAAGGAGACTACAAAATATAAGTTAATAATACAATAAAAGGGTGCGCCTGAGTCTGTAAGTAATATTATTTGTTGTCTAAACTAACTAATATGAGTTTGAATTTATTATTGAACATTTCAATTTAAATAAACCATTAATGGCCCGCGAGCCAATAATAGGTCAATGAGACCAATTTCCTCCTGGTAAATAAAACTTCTAAAATTGTTAAGGTAAATTATAAAGACTTGATTCAAGACTATAAAGATCTTCATAAATATTTTATAAATAAAAATAGACCTCATGCTCTATAACTTTAAAGTTAATTTAAGTTTTTATGTAGGAAATTAATTTTAAGGTTAGATAATGTAGAAGTTTTCGGCCGAGAGGAAATGATTGACGAAATTAGGCTCTGGCTCGGGGACTATGATAAATTAATTTAAATTAACAGATCAATATGAATTAATAGTTTAAATTTAATATTGAATCCACCCAACTTGATAAATGAAAAAAGACAAACTATCGCTGCTGACTGGCTCGTCGTCTATATCCGATATGTAGCAATAGATTACGCTTGATAATACACGTGGTGGTAATCTTACGGCGACGGTGGATCCGTTTTTGCCGCAGCCCCTAACCCGGAATGTTGAACTGAAGTTGATCACAAACAAGAACTGTGCAGCGTAACACATGGAGCTCATCAGGAGGCACCACGGCGCTCCCAACGCCGGCATCTGCGGTACCACCACAACACTCCAACGTCACAACCAACCAATATCACCTTGCGCACAGCTAGGTGGTGTAGCTCGACCATAACAGACGCTAGTCCAGTATAGACAGTTAGCTTCGATATTAATTACACATAGGGACTTGATTCACATGTTAATACAGGTACATCCAATTTTATAGGACATGCTAATGTTAAATTTATTAGTATACACATAACGACTAGGACATAAAGTGAACATATACTTAGTCTAATGTTAGAATTCGACAAACGGCCATCAACGGTACAACTTAGTTTACTATCTAAACCATGGTATACTAAAACTAAAGAATGAATCACAATGAGTGAAGACCCACATGAAGTTGAAAAAATCAAGATCATTGACGTACCATCCATACGTATATCTACTTTATAAAGTTACCATGATAATTTTAAAGTAACGGAACCTATGGATCATGCTCATGTTAAACAAATAATATCAAATAATAATAACAGTGAGCATAACCGCAAGTTTACGTGGAGTATTCATGCCATTAAAAAAACCCACATGATAAGCAATGAACATATCTGAGACAACGATACAATAGAAGGGGTCTCAGATTTGGCTGTTACAAACAAAGCAGTCAATAACAAATCAAACTTTGATCACGCTGAATAGAAGTTAATGAAAATATAATAAAATAATAACAAAAGTAAAATATAATTTTTGTTGTTTTTACATAAACATTGTTTGTAAGAGCCAATTTACAATGGTTACCGATAATTACTACATTAAATCTAATCCTATAACTAACTCAGACGATGACTTCACAATAGAGAAATTAGAAGCCCAACGCATTCATGAATTCGAACTAAAACACTTGGCCGGTGGCATGGGAGTGTAAATAAATGTATCTTTAATAACTATAAAGTTTCAGAGAACTCATAACAGAAATAAAATAGGAAATATGTAGTTCCAATAAATAAAAAAAATGTTATTTTAAAAGAATTGAGTATGTGCACAGAAGGGAATCGAGTTAGGAGTATTATCAACTGCCATATATATCCCATACTACTGTAATAAATCGTAAAAACAGCTACTTGACAATAATTGAGTATCTCAAAATGTGTATTTTGCTTTTAAATATAAGAAGTTACTGAGCAAATTGCACTTTTATCCTATTATGTACAGGTTTACAGAAACGTTGTGTATGATGGATGATTTGTTCTCCCAGACCCCCGGCAGTGTGACCAGGCTATTGTAAACGAGCGGGGTCTCACAGCGACGGTAGAGCCGTTCTTTCCAACGCCGCCAGTCACGATTGCCGCAGCTAGGGTGCCTACGGTGAGGAAGGTGCCGGTCACCGCGGCCAAAGCCAGCGAGTACCGTGCTTCTAGCGCGCCTGCGATCTAATCGGTCATTTGAACGGCGAACAATAAAATTAACATCGGTAACATAAATCGGTATTACAGATTTGTATCTAGTGATTATGTTAATAAAATTAATGTAAGGGACCTCTTAATAAACATCACTTGGGAGGATGCAATTAGAAATTACGAATGTTAAGAGGTAGGTAAATAAGAACAATGCAACTTGCAAGTTACTGACACAACACCGATCAATCATCTGGTGTTAATAGCCCTACTATAACTAACAATAGTTTTAGGAAATTATATAAAATAAAGTATATGGATCAAATAACTTATAACAATACATGTGGGTATTTTTAAACTCTTTCTATATGAAATTTAGAATTATAGTAAGACTGTATGTAAGTTTTATCTCGTACTATTTGCCTTGTTTGATTCAAGGTTATTGACATAGTACGATTAAAATGCATAATAAAATTCTGCTCATATCCAATAATAAAACTGTGATGGTGATGAAATGATTTTTCTTCACCCATCTTTATCAAAACTAAGAAATTGATTACATGGTACAGATTTTCATTATTAAATAGGTACGTAAAATATTAATCTTCTAGAACATCGAGGATAGCATTACCTGAGTGGACCAGAAACCGGGTCCAAGTGTGGCGGAGACGAGATGAATAGCAATGATGGAGTACTGAGCCTCGGTGACGTCGATACGTCCCATCTTGAGTGTACCCGTCACGTAGGCCTGCCAGTGCGCGCAGTAGAACAGGGTCATTGCGCATATACACTAGAAAAGAAAATATTCATTATCAATATTGAAATTAATAAGGATTTCATTGTAAAATTTCACTCACTAACTGAAGTTGATTTCGTTTCTGAATTTCACCATGGTACTGCCCGTCAGAAACTAAATTACCATCCTAATCATCTGGAAGAATGGCGGTTCTCTACCGTGCCTTTTACTAGAAACTTTGCTACACACAAACACATTTTGGAATCACCTTCCAGCAATGATATTTCCGAACCGATACGATATTGAAATCTTCAAGTAAATACCTTATTCCTTCTTACAAGGCTAGCAACGCATTTGCAATTCTCCTGGTGTTGCTGGTGCTCATGGGCGGCGGTAATCACTTACCATCAGGTAAGTCGTAAAATCATGTACCCTATGCTACAAAATAAAAGAAATATGAAATATAGTAGTTTCTTACTTGTGGGCGACTTAATGACTCAAGAATGGTAAATTTTTTTGTACTACGATGGTGGCGAACAAGCATTCTGCCCATCTGATGGTAAATGGTCACCGTAGTCTATGGGCGCCTGAGATACCAGGGGTGTCAATTGCGCGTTGCCGACCCTTAAGAAACCTTAATATACCCTTTTCTTTGACATGGATAAGAAGTGTCAGGTTACTTATGATCCCTTTCTATCAATATATCCCGGCCACACAAGAGCTCGTGACATAAAATCATAAACGAAAATTAATCTATTTAATCGAATTAGGTGTTATTTTGGGGTCCATTTCATTACTTGATAGATTTACATTATTATTAATATTCTGGTGGAAATTTGATCACCAATAGATAAGGTCATACGCTTAGCTTAGGCCAGTAGCGGTGGTCAGGTTTCCGCACTGAATATTTGTGGTCTCACACATGCTACTTGTAGCGGAATTGAACAAAATAAAATAAATACATCACGTAGCGAAAATTAATCATCCTTATACAGATCACGTCATACTTAACTTAATAATGACGTGCGAAATAAATGTATACATACAGCTGTGCTGATAAAGACATATTTAGACATGATACGGCGGGTCAAAACGTAATAATTAAACATATAGTAGTATATATAGATAACCAAGTAGATATATATAGATAACTAGCTTACCAGCGCAACTTTGTCTGCATCACACTTACTTAACATTTATCATTATACTAGCTTTTGCCCGCGGCTTCGCTCGCGTTAGTTTATTCTCTTACGGGTGGAATTTGTGAAAATCATTTCTAGGGGATTCCTACGTTATAGTAGCTTTATGCATGCAAAGTCTCAGCCTGATCGGTTTAAAATTGACAAAGTTTCATACAAACTTTCATCCCCTATTTTATCCCTTTGGGGATAGAATTAATCAAAATTCTTTCTTAGCGGATGCCTACGTCATAACATCTACCTGCATGCCATATTTCAGCCCGATCCGTCCAGTGGTTTGGGCTGTGCGTTGATAGTTCAAAAGCTAGTTATTATACTTTCACAGCTTAATAACTTTAAAACTAGGAAATAAGTTATCCGTAACATATATTCACCTTGCCATATGTACACTTTATTTATGTGCATTGAAGTTAAATAAAAATAAATAAATTCGCCCAATTTACCTAATATCATTTTAAATTATAGTCGCTGTCTGGCCGTCCCTATACATGCTTAAATCTTTAAAACTACGCAACGGACTTTTTTTTTTTTTGTGGATGATAATGGAATGGTGCACCCGCCTGCGCTAACGGTTTACGCTGACAGGGCACCAGTGGAGGATGATAAGATGAGCATGAGGTCAGGTCAGTTAGCCCATCGTGACAAATTCACCAGGAATTTATCACGATGGTTTCCAGGGGGACCGCGTGGAGGTCGACCTGACATGATACATTGCTAGCAATGGGGTTATCAATCCACATTACTAACAATCCCCTTCCCCCCCGCAACGGACTTTGAAGCAGTTTTTTTTAATAGATAACTCTATCTATATATATTCAAGAGGAAGTTTTATATGTATAATACATGTACACCCGGGCGAAGCCGAGGCGAGTAGCTGGTAAGCTATATTACTGTAGTTTCATCAAAATCCGTTCGTTAGGTATTGTGAAAGAGTAACAAATATCCTGAAGTTAAATAAAAATAAACATTTCGCCCAATTTACCTAATATCTTTTTAAATTATAGCCATTCTGTTATTCTGATATATAAGCTATATTACTGTAAAGTTTCATCGAAATACGTTCGGTAGTTATCGTAAATGAGTAACATACATAAATACTTACAAACTTTCGCATTTATAATATTAGTAAGATAGTTATAGCAGATAATAAATAATGTTTTATTATAGCTAAACATACTACCGAGGTTAGCTCAAAGATAGATTAGATAGTCCGGCTATGGCTGGATTATATGACTGACAGTGTTACGAAATTTCATTTGAAACGTTTCAATTGAGAACATTTGGGTAACTGGAAATTCATCCAAATATTCTCAATTTAAAATAGAAATATAAATTTATTGCCTGGACATTGCACATAACGCCATCAAGTCCCACGCTAAGCAGAGCTTGTATTATGGATACTAGACAATTATTATAAATATTTAAATACTTTTTTGGCATAATAATAATAATATAATGACCCTGTACAATTCCCATAACGCCATCTAGTCCCAAGATACGCAGAAATTCTATTATGGGTATTAGACAACTGATATAAAAACTTATAAAATATGTTTTGGCAAATATAAAATACCCAGACCAAAACATACAAATATACTCATGAATAGAAATGTTTGTGTGTGCGAGAATCGAACCCGACCATGGGAAATAAAGCGGCTATATTGCTAGACCACCAAGGCCGTTGGAAGCAATTAAATATGCACGTATGACCATAGAGGGAAGGGGTGGTGTAGTTAGTACTACTGGCTGTATAGCTAGCAACGTCAATGTTGACTTTAAACCATCGTGATTAATTAGTCACGAAGGACATATACCATGTAATGTAAGGGCGGTAGCACTACACTATAATTGTACATTAAAAATACGCTAAGCATATAATAAAATACTATCAAACCACAATGCAAGTTACGATAACCACGTACTCTTATCTATAGTTACCTAATTTGAAATAACTCGAGTGTTAAGGATTTTGGATCGTACGATCGGGCCGCTCCTATCTAGCCACCAGTCATTTACTGGTAAAAACATCAATACAAAAACGATAAAGTATTAGAAATGACCACGCTGGTAAATGGTAATAAATGCACGGTTTTGAGAAACAACCGTGTAAATAGAATTTGTATATCTTAACAGAATAGCATGGCTGACTGACATTCTTCAATCGTAGTGACTAGAACCAGTACCGTAGCCTGACGAAGTCAGTCATTAGTGCGCTCAATCATATTTTAGACCCAATGACCAGACCAAAGAAGCAGTTCTGTTGATTTTCTACGAACTTGATTTCAATTTTTATTAGGTTTCACCTATGTTTAATAATATGGCATAAGCCGAAGAAGGGAAACAGCAAGATATTCGGGGTTCCACTGAAAATCAGCGTCGTGGCTTTTATCATGGCATAATGCTGAGATGGGCCCCTTACACACACATCAGTACACAGTGACGCGGTGGCGTTGCTCCGCAGTGGTGAATAGGAAATGCATTTTACTTTATTATTATTACTTAGTATTGTTTTTTTATTCATCTCCCCTCTTAAGGAGAGGAGATGGCAACATTATTTGTTTGTTACTATTTTGTTCTTTTTTTTTGTATATAATGATTTCATCTCTAATTTAATGAATTGTTTTTTATTTACGTTTATCTTATATAATAATTTATATGCAGCTGTCAGCATCGTTTTTATTGTATGATGTGTGATGTAATAAATGTTATTCTATTCTATATTTTTAAAGGCGCTCTAAATCTTATTGAGGAAAATACATCACAAATTTAAAACATTGTAAGCGATTATATAACCGGTGGATATAACAAACAGGTGGACTAAAATGTGCTGCTCGACGGTTTAGGTAAAAACTGAACGGTACGGATTGGCATCAGTCCAGCCAACGATTTGGCCAGACCGGCCCCTTGGCAAGACTCCCGAATAAGAATTTTCCTAGAACTCTACAGTTGCTGCCCAGGATGCTACCAAAATTATCAATTCAAATTAAAAAATTCAGATTTCTAATTCAAAATATCCTTATTCAGACTCTTATGATATGTCAAATCTACCGTCAGTTCGGAATGACTTCGAGATGAGAACTGATAAGCAACTCAGCTCGTATTCTTTTCAAATAAATGTTGCACATGTTTACGATAGTACAGATTCATTTAAATTCTAATTTGGGAGAATAGAGTGACCACCAGCATATGCTATTGCAAAAGCAAAAAGTCTAAATCAGTGTTCGTAACCAGAACAGACCAGTCCCCACAAGCAGCACCGATGAGCCAGCCATCATTGCACTCAACCATTTCAGAGGGAGCTTATTTTTCACAATTGCGAAGGAGTGATTCATCAATCTTATTGTAACTGCTACATGCAGGATATATTGGCATTTCAATGATTTTTAGAAGAATTTCATCAAAAATGGTTGGGCTTCAACACTTCTATCCTTGACTTTCGTTTACTTGAACCTTTCATTTGCGTCGCGTCGGTAATAGGATAAATATAGATATAGTTTCTAATTACTTGAGATTGTGTATCAGTTACGCGGTGAAAGTAATTAGTAATTTCATTAATACCAGATAATATCCTATCAGTGTTTAGAGAATTATTAGTATTGAACTGATCGCTTTGTACCCACAATCGTACATAGCATTTTATTTATTAACTAGTTGTTACCCGTTACCCGTGACATCGTACGCGTGAAATGTAACTTTATTTTTCTAAAGTAAAATTAGCTTAAGTTACTCCTTATTACATCAGCTACCTGCCAATAAAAGTCCCGTCAAAATCGGTCTAGCCATTTCAGAGACTAGCGGGAACAAACAGATAGACAGACAAAAATTGCAAATAATGTTGTTTTGGTGTATGTACCG